ATCAGGGGCTCTGAGGACAGGTGTCAATCCATTTGTCAAGGTGTCAATATGTCATATGTCAGGTGTCAATCCATATTGATTGTGATTTAGGAATGTTAGGTGATTTCTGCCCTTTATGGATTAAAACCAGACTCTGTATCAACTGTGTAATTTTCATGGGAGTTTTGCCATGGATCCCCCTCCGGCATGCCACAGTCCAGGTGTTAGTCCCCTTGAAACAACTTTTCCATCCCTATTGTGGCCAGAAAGAGTCCCTGTGTGTTTTAAAATTCGCCTCCCATTGAAGTCAATGGCGTTTCGGGCGGTTCGCCGGTTCGCGAACATTTGCGGAAGTTCGCGTTCGCCGTTCGCGAACCGAAAATTTCGGGTTCGCGACATCACTATTCATATTGTGTTCATACAGCACAGCCCTTGCCCTTGCCAAACAGTCCTACTTTTCCTCTCTTATTATTTCATGCTCCCGCAATCCCAGGCATTTCTTTGACACCTTTAATTCTCTTCTTGTCTTGTGCCTTCCTTAACGCACATCTTCAAATGCTCTCTCTCTTTTGGCATTGTCCCTGCTGACCTTAAACATGCCATTGTAGTACCTATACTACAAAAAAAAAATTCCTCGACCCGTCCACCCTCTCTATCGTCCCATATCCCTGCTCCCTTTTTCCTCAAAGCTTCTGGACAGACTTGTCTTTACCCGTGTGTCTCATTTCCTCAATTCCAACTCTCTCCTTGACCCTCTTCAATCTGGCTTCCACCCTCTCCACTCTACTGAGACTGTGCTTATCAAAGTTACTAACAACCTAATCGCAGCTAAATCCAAAGGCCACTACTCCATACTAATTCTTCTTGACCTCTCTGCGGCCTTTGACACCGTTGGTAATGCTCTCCTTCTTCAAACTCTTCAATCACTTGGTCTCTGTGACTCTGTCCTCACGTGGTTTTCCTCTTATCTCTCCCAATGCTCATTCAGTGTCTCCTTTTCTAATGATACCTCCTGCCCTCATCCTGTCTCGGTTGGAGTCCCCCAAGGCTCTGTCCTTGGTCCCCTTCTATTTTCTCTTTATACTACCTCTCTTGGCAAACTTATTACCTCTTTTGGATTCCACTACCACCTGTACGCTGATGACACCCAGTTATATCTCTCCTCCTCGGACCTCTCCCCTGCTGTCCTGCAATGTGTCACTGCTTGCCTTTCTTCCATCTCTGACTGGATGTCCTCCCGCTTTCTGAAACTCAATCTCTCTAAAACTGAGCTCCTTGTCTTTCCTCCTTCTAATACTGATCCTCTTCTTTCGCTCTCCCTTCAAGTTTGTGGTACCCACATCAGTCCATATTTGCAAGCGCGCTGTCTTGGCGTCATACTTGATTCTGGCCTCACCTTTGAGCCTCACATCCAGCATGTTGCCAAATCCTGTAGATTCCATCTTAAAAACATAGCCCGCATCCGCCCCTTTCTTACACAAGATGCTACCAAGGAGCTTGTCCATGCTCTAGTAATTTCCTGCATGTATTATTGTAACCCTCTCCTAATAGGTCTTCCCAAAAACCGTACTGCACTGCTACAGTCCGTAATGAATGCTGCTGCCAGACTGATTTTCCTCTCTAGTCGTTTCTCTCACACCTCACCCCTCTGCCAGTCCTTACATTGGCTTCCTGTATGCTATAGGAGTCAATTCAAGGTACTAATTCACAGCTATAAATCACTGAACAACCCTCATATCTCCTCACAGATCCATGGGTATGTCCCTTCTCGGTCTCTCCGCCCTGCCCGTGACGGTCTCTCCGCCCTGTCCGCACCCGTACAGCCAACTCACGCTTGCAGGACTTCTTGCGGGCGGCTCCCTTCCTATGGAATAGCTTGCCTAATGCCATCAGACTCTCCCCTAGTCTTGCATCTTTTAAGAAGTGCCTTAAAACCCATCTCTTTCGGAATGCTTATGGCCTCCAAGACTAACCTTTACCTCACATACCTGTCTCTTGCTCTCTCCTAAAGGGCAGCCTACCTTATTTGACTGCAAATTCCTGTCCTGTTTTACACCCCACCTCCTATAGAATGTAAGCTCGATTGAGCAGGGACCTCTTCAACCTATTGTTCCCGTAAGTTTTTTTGTAATTGTCCTATTTATAGTTAAATCCCCCTCTCATAATATTGTAAAGCGCTACGGAATCTGTTGGCGCTATGTAAATGGCAATAATAATAATAATAATAATATGTTCTCTCTGAGCAGGGACCCACCGAAGGGCAGGCTAATTGAGCTGTTTTCCGTTCTCACCTCTCTTGCTACTTGTTATTCTTTCCCTATATTGCTTTATTGCTATTATTGCAATTGCTTGTTTTTCTTTCTTATATGCAGTCCTTCCATGAGTACAGCTTGAATAAACTAATTCTGTAAATAATATTCTTAGTTTTTCTAAAACTGATGTCTGTAGCCTAGCACAAAAGCTGAAGCTTAAACACCAACGTGATGTATGGCAGTGTTATGGTGCTTGGGGCTACCCTGAAAATATAGATTTTAAAACCTTGCTATTTTGGATTTTTACATCTTAGTCATTTGTGATCCAGACCATTTTTAACTGACAGTATTTTTGGACACCTAAGCCCCTTTTCTCATAGTGTCAGTTTTCTCTGTAAGGAGCTGATTTGACTATGGACCCTGTTAAGACACCTCCCGTGTCTTTAAGCCAAACCGCCATTTAGTAAACCTTCCCCGGCTGCAGTACAGTCTCTGTTCGCTTGCTCTGTAACCCACGAACCAAATGCAGGGGAAGCGGCAATCTCCCGATCGAAATCCACGAACGGCTCCAAACTCCCGAACGGCAATATACGAACTGCTAGGAACCGTCGAACAGTAATATCCCCAAAGCGGCTTTCGTTCCATCCAGCAGTCTCTAAACGTGAAGAAACAATCCCCCCAATAACGAGACAGAAGCTCCGCATTGAGGGTCAAATAAGATCTGGTTTTACTGTGGGCTACCTGCCCGTATTTATGCAGGTCTCCCACCTGGTGGACACTCCCCTAGGGGACCAAATGGAAGACTTAAATTACAGACAGATAGAAGGACATTTCTGACACACAGTCACATCTCTTACCCATAGTGCATTCTGATTCCCTCCCCTCTGTCCTGGAGTTAATTACCAAGTAACTCAATTAACTCCAGGACAAGGACAGTCGCCATTTTAAACATAAAATAATAAAAGACATAAAAATGCATAACTACATGAAAACTGAACATTTCCCATTCGTATTACATGTCCCCAGCCTGGATCTGAGTGCATATTATTGGCGAATAGCGCTCAGATCCCACACACATAGTTCAATCGCCATGGAGTCAAAGTTCTTACAGTCTTTCTGTATACGAATGACTCCATGGGAGGGCTATCTGGGTTAAGTCTTTCGTATGCTCTCAATCTCCCGAACAGCCGGTGTTCGCATGCTTTCGTGGAGGCAGCCAGACGTTCCCTTGTTTCAGCGGTGTTCGACAGAAAAAGTGTCCGTTTTCCGTTCCATAGAAATAGAGCCAAACACCGCTGAGCGTTCGCATGATTTAAAATGGCCGCTGCCTCGTGGTCGACATACGAACGACGACCACCCTGAGTTCGGTTTAATTGAGAAGTGTCTGCGGTTAACCACAATGTTATAATGGTGATCACTTCGTTAACCTGCAGCACACTCCTCACTTGGGTGGCCGTTCGTTCGGCAGATTTGTTCGGGGAAAAGAGTCATTCGAATGGCTGGGCTATAGAAACCAGCCATTCATACGAATGGGGACAAACAGACGAACGGGCAAAAATCCAGCAGACAGATGGTTCTGTCACAGACCCTGTAGGCTTGTTGATCTTCTTCTTTTCACACCCACTTACCTGTTTGACTGAATCCACTACTCCAGTTGATCACAGCCATCTACAAAAATTAATTATTTTTTTTTTTATTGCACAATGTGCACAAGTGATTCATTATCAAGATGATTAATTATCCAAATCCAGAGCATGCTTGTGCACCCTAGGAGTGATAGAGATAATACTGATGCAAGGGTTAGCAGAGAGCTTTGCATTTTACTGCTTATTGTCTTGTGATGTATATGTCTGATGTGTTTATATTTGTCTTTGGCTTCTACAGAATTTTATATGAATTTTGGAAATTATAGATTCACATTGTGTAATCCACTGAATCCTGAAATTCTACCACAAGGCCTTTTTACTGTATCTTCTCAATTTTTATCTTCAAGTGCTTGTGGCAAGCATTATTTCATGCTTGAATATAAAGACTACTATTATGGCTTTCAAGGATATGACATCTGTTCCTGATCTGATACATTTTTGAGGCCAAATATAGCATGCACCAGAAAGACTGTACATGCATTTGGTATTTTTTGATTCTTGGTGTGTAAAATATTGATCTGGACTAGCATGTCTTTAATTAATAAGTCTTGTCTCACTGTTTTCATGTAATTTTTTTAGATATTTATTGCTGTGGATTGCTAAGCGCCAGGAAAAGTGACTGTACTGGGCTTCCTATCGCAATGCTGAATAATACTGAAGTACCCCAGTGTCGAGGGCAATATGGAATTAAGATGAAGAAAAATATGTCTCTCATATGCTGGTACAACAGAGGACATTTTCGTTTTCTCACTAATGCCTATTCTCCTGTTCAGCAAGGTGGGAGCAAAACATGTTGTGAATTATTTTTGCTGAAATGCATTTTTATAAATTATGTGTTATGTCACTTGAATATGAAGCTTCATTTCAAAATTACTGGAGTTTTGATATCTTCCCAATCATTCAAGTCAACCATTCAGGATGTTAGGCAAATACAGTGATATTATAACTATTATAGCTTTTCTACTGTCATGAAGGGGTTGTAGCAGATCCCAATTATATCCAGTATCCAAGGAGGGGCACTGGATGTTTGAAATTGAAGTGCAGTGTATTGTGTGTGTATAGATAATGTGATAAAGTGAATGGTGTGGTATGTGAGGATGTTTATATTTCTGCTAATTTCCTCAGAGAGGCATATGACATTTAACCCTAGGGGGAGTATCCGTTGTATGTGTTGCATGCAACACAACTTAATGCGTAGTTATGGGCCCTTGAGAGAAATAAAATCCAGGCCAGGGTTTTGGACTGTCTCCTGTATGTACGTAGCGGGGAATGTGGTGCGACTAAGAGTAAGGAGACTACCCCAATTCTCCCCCCAATAACGACAAACAACGAAACAGGCCACAGCATTTATTAAACTTACAACTGTAGGACTCATCCAAACTTTATTCTTTTCCTTTAATTCAAATATAAAGGAACACATAAATATATATACATACCATTATTAACATATAAATTACACTTATTGCCCTACAGCCTCCAACTTAAATAACCGTCCTTGCCAACGAACTTAACCAGGTGTCTATGCACCAAAAACTTTACCCACTGGTGTCTCGCCTCCCCCCTCATCCAAACCAAAAATTTCAATCATCTTAAATGCTCTACCACCAGTCGGCTTTTTGCTCGGTGGGCACGTCCTATTCGGTAACTTAAAAGTTTACCTTACAGAGCAGGGGAGGTTGAGACCCACCTTGTCCATCTCCTGCCATTCCATCTGCTCTCCAACCCTGTTGGCAAGGACACACTTCCCGCCACAAACTCCCGCTGTTTTAAACCTAAAATCAGCGGGGAGCCCCACCAAAACCAACCAGGCCTGTTCCACCACTTCCTGCATGGCAAGATGAAACACCAGAAACACAGTAACTGCCACACATGCGAAAACACTCTGTGGCAAACCAAAATCCCCTTACCCTCAAACACACCTAGAGGCCCTCCAATTTTGCTTCATACGGCAGCGCACCATGCACTGATTATGGGCCTGCTGCCAAAAGATACGGGAAATGACCTCCAACCAATCGAGTTTATTTATTTATTTAAATTTTATTTATTATTATTATTTTTATTTTTTTATTGATTTATTTATTTTTGAACTGCCTTTGTTATAACATACTACAAGTACTGTATAACACATCCATAACTTATTATAATAATCTCTCTTCTTTTCTGAAACCAAAATGTTAAACATAAATAACCATAACTTAACATATATAACTTAATACACAGGGTCATACGGTGAACCCAACATCACGCATCACGAAACAACTAAAACACGCACCAATACCCTCTTAAGGGCAGATGCCAAATACCACCTTGGACCGTCCCAAGCTCAATGCCCCCCAGGTGGATAACCCGAACATTAGGGACAGCTAAACCTGCTCCGGGAGGAGCCGAACCCATTTCAAATCTCCGGCACCAAACCAACGAACCTCCGCTTCAGAAGGTGCACAACCCAATAGCTCACCTCCTGGATGGACACCTCCATGCCACCTGGAAGTATAACCAGGAAAAGGACATCCAGATATTTCCTGTTTTCCAAATGCACCCTGGAAATTGTTACTTGTACCTAAAGAACTGGTATTCATTTATCTACCTCAAAGGAATGAATGGTTGAGCCACCGCCACCGAGAATTGAACCCGCAACCCCCCAAGTATTGAACAAATTCTACAAAACCAGCATTACTTCACTGAGCCATCTCACCATACCCCCTCCCGGTTGTCTGCACTATGTGCGCTGACATACCCATCCTAAAAGCCTCCACCAAGGCAGTGCTAAACTGAAAGTGTAGCGGAGATGCAATATTCCCCAGGTATCTCCGCTTATAATCCAAGTGAGGCTCAGGAACAAGTAAATTGTAAATCCATAGGCAAGGTCTCCAGCAGGCAAAATAACACAACAATATCCCACAGTAATCCCATTAACTGGATGACACACAGTTTCAAGAGCAGAACTGAAATCTTTTAATCCACACTGTCCTTTTAAAGCATGCTCCCATGCAAGGGAGGGATTTACAATCATTAGTACAGTAGCCAATCCTGTCCTGGTAACCTCACACATCTCCTCCCCTCAGCCTGCATCATAATCCAGTCTAGCAATTCCCCCCGTTTCTGGATGTACCCCTAAATGTAGGGGTACCCCTTTAAAGCCTACATCCCCTGATAGCCCTGATCTGGGTGAACAACATATCCAAAAATCACCTAGATCAGACCAGGGGTTCGGGAAATGTATGGAGGGAATAAAATGACCGACCACACTGACTGAGATAGCCGAATGCGGTTCCATGCGAATGGGCCCTGCGGTCGGTCCTGGAATAAGGGAACAAACTGCACGAAAGCCTCTAGCTATAGAGGCTAGGGAGGGTTCGCCTGAATCCCCTCGTTCGGTTCTTTCTATCTACCGAACGAGGGGCCGTTCGGTAGTTAGGAACCGAACGGACCGGGCTTGTGGAGGATTCAGCGGTGTTCGCCTAGTCGAGTGTCCGATTTGAGTTCCAGACACTCAACGGCAAAACACCGCTGTTCGGGAGTTTTAAAATGGCCGCCGCCATGTGTTCGTTTGTCGAATGGTGGCCACCCCCGAGAACAAAGGACGGCTACTTCCCTTGTCAATTACCCGTTTGCAACAATGTTGCAACGGGTAATTGAGAACACACTTCACACAGGGGAGGTCTGACTGTTCGGTAGTTTCATTCGAACAAACCAAGGGAATGAAACTACCTTACATTCAGACGAATCCAATACATTTACACATATAACTTAGCTATTTCACACGAATACATTCCCTTACTGCAAAGACATTTACCAAATAGACGAAAACAGTTTAAACATAATGTAAGTCCCAGGGCAGCTCGTGGCCCTCCGCTACAGAAAGGAATGCCACAATATTCCTTACTGTCAATCCCCAGAGCTATCAGACTCGCGCGAAAGACCCAAAGAATTGGGAAAGAAAAGATTGCATCTGCATAACCCAAAAGAGGGCCCGTGCATACTGGGCGCAGCTCACAGTTCCCACAAAGGAAACGTGCAACAGCCGAACCCCCATACCCTTCCCGAAAAACATCCGACCTGGATGGTCAAATACTTATAGTGATATGATCCGCAGGGCGCCGAATGGTGGCAAACAATACCCCACCACCGCATGGCCTACCAGGAATGACCAATACCCCAACATGTATGGCCCCCACATGTTGGGCCCAGGTGGCCTTGGAAACCAATCCACGGACCCATTCCATCACCAGACTCCTACTCCTCTCTATTTGTTCCTGGTGCACAATAGAATCCTGCTTATATCCTTTGGTGGGGATCATACCACCATATGCTCTCATCACCAGAGCAAGTTTTTGCTCTGGAAATCGTAAGTAGGATACCTACTTTTTTATTTTATTATGTCGGATTGTACATACTATACCCTTGGATTTAGTTTTTTGCTCTTGTTTTTATACATATACGGCAGTGGAGAATTGGACACCATATTCCAGTATATATATTCTAAGACGGGGATTGTACCGTCCAGGCGCTATACGGTAGAGCTTTTAACAGCTCTGCAAAGTGTGAGTTAGCATTTTTAGTGGTTCTCCTCTTACTGTATAGACTATATCATTTATTGACAATCTGCACTATCATTGTTTTGTATTTTGTTTCTTTTAAGGGTGTATATACCACCATAGTACCAGAAACCCTTGTATGTATGTATAACGTTTATTGCACTCCGTACACTTTAAATACGTTTGTGGCGCAGTATACCACTTTTGTCTTTGCAATCTCAATGCCCAGAAAGCTGAGACAAGTGACCGGGTCCACTGTCTTGTCGTGTGCCAACGGGACCACAAACTGATGGAACACCACACCCAGAACCTGTAGCAACAGCGGACAGGCTGGCGAATTGGTGAGACCCACACAAAGGAAATCATCGAGGTAGTGCAGCCTCCTTCCTCACCACCCAGTCCAAGAACGTGCTGAAGCATTCAAAGTAAAAACAGGATATGGAACAACCCATAGGAAGGCACATATCCACGTAATTCATGTCTTCAAAACCACAGCCCAGAAGATGGTGACATTCCAGGAAGGCCAATTCCACATCAGCCTCGGCCAGCAAGGCCCGTGGCCCTGACCATGTCAACCGCCACGTCAAAGGATTCATAAGATACTCGCCAGAGTTCAAAAGAGATGTTGTCATTCACTGAGCCCCCCCGGGGACGATAAATGGTGAATCAGACGGTATTTTTCTGAAACCTATGCTAAACCCATCCAGTAGGATGCCAGCTGCCCAGCCGGGGGGCCAGCCGGGTCATCATAGAGAGCCAGAGGCCAATGTCTACCAACTACCAACCGTTGACGGAACTGCTCGCCATACTTCCACCACCCCAGACCGCCATAGGTACAACAAGCATTCCAAATGGTATCCTGGTAGCAGAACAATGCAGAGCACTTCTGCGGAGCCCTTTCCCCAATTACACTGGCCAGGATTGCAAACGCGCAAATGCAATTACTGAAAGTCTTAGGGATCTTCCGGTACCAGTATTTCTCCTTGTCTTTTTTGGATTCCTTCCTGTCCTTTTCCATGAAAGGAGGAGCTTTCTCCATGGGAAGGAGGGAAAAAATCTCAACAAAGTCTCCCCTCCAATTTTTTTCCCGAACCTCCTGATTTAGGTGCAAGCCCAAGGGCCCTGACTAACACATGTATGCGGGCAAACGAGCAACGTCACCTAATGCTAGCGATCCCCCAGCAACAGAAGGCGCTGTGGCACCCAACACCATTGCAGGGGTGCCAGCATGCCCACCAACCCCGGGAGAGGGGAACTATGTGACCCCAGGAACCGTCAAAACCACCTGTGTCTGCAGCGCCGAGGATCACACTAACCGAACCTGACCAACTAATGGGGGGTCCCTACCTGCTTGCACACCCTGCTCCCACTGATCAAGAAAGTCCCTAAGCCCTGACAAAACACCCCAAGTGAGGAACCCCCGGACTGAAAAGAAGAAAAAACATTAGTGAACTCACCAGCCGATGCCCGAGGAACCTCCCGCGGCAAAAGAAATCAAGACGAACCAGGTAGGACAGAGTTAACTTCATTTTCACACTACTCAGCCTTGCAGCAGTACCAGGCGCCATCTGTTGGACGGTCCCAGGAACAGCAGCCACTGCAGCCAGATCCTGTGAGCAGAGCAGTGGAGATGAGGTAAGCTCACAACTTGCAGAGGAGGGCAGCCGCGGTAAGTACCCAGGGGGGACATAGGGGCTAGGAATTGGGACAGGAGGGGGGGAGGGAGATAGAGGGCCAGGAGAGGGGATACAGACCAGCAGTAACAGGGGAGGAGGAGGGGAACACAGAGGGAGAAGGAACCCCAGAGGGAGAGGAGACAAGGGATGGCACCATGGGGGGGAGGAGGGAGGGAGACAGAGAGAGCCAGGAGGGGGCACAGAGAGAGGAAGGGGACACAGCACAGCAGAAACAGGGGAAGAGGGAGGGAGACAGAGAGACAGGATGGGGCACAGAGAGAGGAAGGGGACACAGCACAGCAGAAACAGGGGAGGAGGAGAGGACCACAGAGGGAGAGGAGACAAGGGATGGGAGGGAGGGGTAATTGCGGACAGAAATTGGGAGGCCCACTCACCACCACCGGCCCCGGTCTGGATCTGCTGACCACGTGGGGGCTGGGAAGGCCTCCCAGACCCCCCAGGATGCAGAGTAGATCTTCCGGCACCCCTGGCCCGCTGTCCACGGCCGGGGGGTGCACGGGAAATGGCAGATGAAGCAGGCCGCGTGTCAGATGGAGCTGACACGTGGGCCTGGTGGTGCCTTGGGCCCGAGCTCCAGCTCCTATACCGGGCCCAAGGTGAGGTGTCAGGGTTCAGCCGAGCAGGCAGGCGGGAGTGCCGACCCGTGCTTTTGCGGCCTAAAGGGGCTGTAGCCACGTGGGAGGCCCAAGGAGAGGCCTGACCATGGGGGGATGAACCCACACCGGCGGCCAGGCTGGAGGGAGCACATTGTTCCTGAAGGTGCCTGCCAACATCCAGGGCAGCAGCAGCTCTGAGGGCAGACAGAATGCCTTCAATATCCATCCCTCACCAGGCCCAGGACAAACAGGAGCGCAGAGGCAGGGAAGTTGTTTGCTGGCCAGAATCCCAAAAGGCACTGAGGTAAGATGATCCCTGCCCCCACTACAAACCCATAACCACTCCCCTTAACACATATAGCCAATCTCTAGCACCATCCCCACACTCATACATGTGCCCTTGTCCGTTTAGCTGTGCTGACTCCCCAGGGCCTAACCCAAAGTTCAGCTAAAGGTAATTGGCTGCAGCAGTGGGAACAAACCCCTCCCAGCTAGGCAGGTAAAGAGAAATTTTGTTTTTTCTTGCCACTAAGCATTGGAGTAGAAAAAAAAGGAGACAGAAGATAAGGTTGGTGAAACCTGTGTGTTCGTTTAAACCAGGCTTCCCCAAACTCCAGCCCTCCAGATGTTGCTGAACTACAACTCCCGTGATTCTCAGCCTATCTATTTCATTCATAGAATCATGGGAGTTGTAATTCAGCAACATCTGGAGGGCCGGAGTTTGGGGAAGCCTCGTTTAAACCCGTGACAGACAGGGAATTAAATGTCAGTCAGTGCTCAGACGAGCTAGGATTTTGTTTAAAGGGAAACCTGTTACATTATTCTTTAGTTGTATTCCTGTCTCCTGAGCGGATTTACCAATAAAGTACCTGGATTATGTTAAAACCAAAAGGCTGCACATGTTGTTTAGCCTAGAGGACCGTGCTAACTGCAAACAAGGATCACAGTAGATGTCTATATATACATACCTTTTTTTTCCTTTTGACAACATATATCTATATATTTTGTGGATGAGTGGTTCACTGGCTTTGCTCCTCTTTCTGAGTTGTGTTTCAAAGCTGTTGTATACAGCAGACCCATACTCCAAGGAATACATGTATAAAGTGGAATTATGAGGCATAAATGTGGTTCTTTGTTGAGCTCATTTGCATACTCCTACCCAGAATCCCTTGCAGTATTGAGAGCACTGTGAAAGTGCGATTTCTGTGCGAAAGGTGTTTAGCAATGTATTAACTATTTTGTGTTTGTGTGTGTATGTGTATATATATATATATATATATATATATATATATATATATATATATATTGTCTCTATGAAGGGGTTAATGGAATCAAAGCCACTACAGCCTGCATTAGTGTGGTTTTTACAACTTACCGGGGCCGTCTGGGTGCAAGAGAAAACACAGGAGAAGCCATTTTTTACTACAGTGTAAAGTCTGGCCAATGCTGAAAACTTATCAAACATTGTTAGTATATGTTTATTTACATCTGCATACTAGATTTAGTGTTAACAATTACATAGTTACATAGCTGAATAGAGACTTGCATCCATCAAGTTCAGCCTTCCGCACATTTGTTTTTTGCTGTTGATCTAAAAGAAGGCAAAAAAAAAAAACAGTTTGAAGCACTTCCAATTTTGCAACACACTATGAAAAAAATTTTACTCTCAAAATTTTACAAGGTCCCATTGTAAGTAAGGGGTGAAATTGAGTTTAGAACTGTCAGTTTTAGAAATTACGATCAAAGTAGTTGCCACAAAGACTGAGGCAAACGCTTTGAACTGACAGCAAATTTAAGTTATGGTAGTCATTTTAGATAAGCCAAATGACGTCAAAATTGTCATCAGGAAAAGTTAACTCTTTCCTGGATAGGAAAGCTTAATTAGGCATTTATGCCCTCTATTGACCAAAAACTATATAATACTAGATAACGTAGACACACCTACAGTTTCCTATTGGCCTTATCAACTAATGACGTAGAGAGAGTCTGGCCCTGTAAAAAAGTTAGGACAAAGGGAAGAGAGAGGTTAGTTTGGACATTCAGATACTCTGGGACTAACTCTCAAACTCTCTTGGACACAACTCAAGAAACACTCCTTGACACTTAGAATTTTAATATTACTTTCTAACCAACATCACTTTTCTCTATTACTTACACACCTCCATACAACCAATCATACTCGCATTCAAGTTCCTGGGACTACCTACTTATCTGATGAGAACATCTACATAACTGGTAATTATGCTGGTTTTATTTAATTAATTTAAATTAATTAAAAATTTACTAATAGCATGATATGTGACTGGATAAATCACGGTCAGATTTCAATAATTAAGAAATCTTAGTTAACTAAAGAATATGTAGTTATAACACTCCATTCTGCAGGTGAAGTCAGATAATTACATAGTACTGGTATCTTACCATGTGTTAGCATACCGCTGTTTTTATCCATGTGTATTGATTTGCTCTGAAATAAGATCGTCTATCTTAGGTAGAGTTAAATTCGGCTTTTGTAAAAATCTGGTAGATTATTCTTATTGGATGGTTCCAGGAAATTATTAATGCGCTAGTTCGAATGTTATTTTAATGGAAAATTACAGGAGAATAGGATACTATATGCCTAGGAGGATCTAGCCAGCATTGAAAGGGTTACTCAGTTGATCTGTTAGCCAAGGTTTTATGGCTTTTCGCTGGAAGTTTAGCTTTCTGTGTCTGTGATGTACCCTCATAAATTGTGTAAGTGTTGACAGTTGATGCTGTAGCTTTGTACTGTGTTTATCCATTGCCATTGCATACTTACGTTATACTAAATATTCACTGATTAATATCATGTATGCTGCCTAATATTATTATTATTTTATTTGTCACAATAAATTATATCTATTTTTATAACAAATTGGGATTTTATTTGTATGGAATACATTTCACTTACATGATAACGATCTCTAAGATCTAAGAGAATTGAAATAGTGGGCAATTCTCAACTGTATAATATTATCATCCCATAAATATCCCCACACTCCCCAGCAGCAGTGTGTTGTCAAGGGAGAAGAGACAACCGGTCTCTCTCCCCAGCGGCAGCCAGCATCCCAGGGAGAGGAGATTGTCGGCCCCTCATCCCTGCAGCAACCATCATCACTGGGAGTCGAGACAGTCGGTCTTACTCCCCAGCGGCAGTGGGTTGTCAAGGGAAAAGAGACAACTGGTCTCTCGCCCCAGCGGCAGCCATCATCCCAGGGAGAGGAGATTGTTGGTCCCTCGTCCCTGCAGCAACCAGCATCCCAGGGAGAGGAGATTGTCGGTCCCTCGTCCCTGCAGCAATCATCATCAATGAGAGTCGAGACAGTCGGTCTTACTCCCCAGCGGCAGTGTGTTGTCAAGGGAGAAGAGACAACTGGTCTCTCTCCCCAGCGGCAGCCAGCATCCCAGGGAGAGGAGATTGTCGGTCCCTTGTCCCTGCAGCAACTAGCATCCCAGGGAGAGGAGATTGTCGGTCCCTCGTCCCTGCAGCAACCATCATCACGGAGAGTCAAGACAGCTGGTCTGACTCCCCAGTGGCAGTGTGTTGTCAAGGGAGAAGAGACAACTGGTCTCTCTCCCCAGTGGCAGCCAGCATCCCAGGGAGAGCAGATTGTCAGTCCCTTGTCCTTGCAGCAACTGGGAGTGGAAATGGTTGCTCCCACCACCCAGCACCAGGCAGCGTTACTGGGAGTCGAGACAGTCGGTCTGATTCCCCAGCGGCAGTGTGATGTACCAGGAGAAGAGACAACCGGTCTCTCTCCCCAGCGGGAGTATACCCTACCAGACGGTGCAGATGGGACCGTAGTCTCTGCACCCGACCTACAGGGATGCTGGACGGCCTATCCAGATCCCCAACTACCCTCACAAGAATACTGGGTGGAGGAGGTAAGCGATGTCTCCCCTCCCCAACCAAGTTGCGTCCAGGCTACCCCAGCAGAAGCGCTGGCATCGGGACAGAGTGCAGTTGGCTTCTGCCCCCCAAGTCCCCACAGCGTGTTGCCCAGTAGCACCAGAGGAACCACCAGGTGCAGTAAATGTGTGTTGTGGGTGGGCTACTCATGTACTTGTTCACTGTGGGTGGGTTTATTGACTAACTCAGGCACTGACCGACAAGTCAGGTACCTGGTTAGTTTCCCCCCCAAGGGGGAATGGTTGTGACGAAATGCCTTTTGTCACTGGATTGTTAGGTGACAAGCTGCCCTTTGCCCCCGGCTGTTGTAGGAGCCTGATTGCCAGCCTCCTTCCTCATGACTATGGCCCTGGGGTGTAGTGCCATTTAAAAAGACTATTTGGGGCTTATTGGCTTTTAAAGACTGTTTCTGCCCATTTTAATCCATGGGAAGGTGTGTCTCTTCCTCTCCCCCGTTTCCTGTCTATTGTTCTCCAGCTGGGCGTTGTACCAGGCACACTGCCAAACCAGTTGGAACTGACTGCTTTTGTCCCTCCTTGGTCTCTCAACAGCCCTTGCTATGCTTTACCCAATGGCAAATTTACTCTGTTCAGGGGATCTGAGCGCAGTTCACCTATATTGGGCGCTCAGATCCGAGCTATCTGGGGATGGGTTGAATGTGGGGGTTCTGTGTAATATAATAAGAATTATGTACTTTTATGTATTTTTGCTGTTAGTGTAAAATGTAGATATTTTCTGTACCTGGAGATAATTGAGTTTACTGCAGTGCCTTAAGCCAATTATCTCCAGGATGGAGAGGAGGGATTTCATTGTGTATGTGGGAGTGTTATGTTAATTAGTGTTCCCATTGGCTTGTGTCCCTTTTGTCACAGTTTACCACCAGGTCCAGGGGGTGTGCCTCTGGCCTGAAAACCTGTATATAAGGACTAATAAATGCTCCTTGGAGTCAGATCATCTTATACCTTCATGAAGTTTCGGCTCATGTTTGGGGTATTGGAGAGCTACACTCTGGGGATTGCTATAATCACTATACCCCCCAGGGTATAATCACTAAGCTCCCCTAAGAGCTTGTTCCTGTTCCTGCTCTCTGGAATTGGGAGAGGTTGATCTACTGGAAGCTGGACCCTGGTCTACTGGAAGCTGGACCCTGGTCTTGGGTCCAGAGTGAGTGGAGATGGCGAGACCCCAACCAAGCTGCGGCGGTTTGTGGGAGTCCACAGTGGTTATGGTGTCTGGCGCAGTGCTTGGAGTTCTCGGAAAGCACTAGGAGCATCCATCAACGGAAGGTACCCGTCGGGGTGCCAGCGGTTCCATTACAGATACATTTAGATTTCTCTCAATTTCCAATATGTCTTGGGTTTAGGTAAACTAGAAAAATGGTCAGAACTGTGACAACTGACATTTAATGTGGATAAGTGCAAGATAATGCATCTTGGGTGTAAAAACCAAAGGGAAGAGTATAGAATACTTGATACAGTCCTAACCTCAACATCTGAGGAAGGGATTTAGGGGTAGTTATTTCAGATGACTTAAAGGTAGGCAGACAATGTAATGGAGGAGCAGGAAATGCTAGCAGAATGCTTGGTTGTATAGGGAGTGGTATTAGCAGTAGAAAGAGGGAAGAGCTCATGCTATTGTACAGAACACTGGTGAGACCTCATTGAATATTTGTACGCAGTACTGGAGACCGTATCTCCAGAAGGATATTGATACTTTGGAGAGAGTTCAGAGAAGGGCTACTAAACTGGTTCATGGTTTGCAGGATAAAACTTACAAGGAAAGGTTAAAGAATCTTAACATGTATAGCTTGGAGGAAAGACAAGACGGGAGATACGATAGAAACATTTAAATACATAAAGGGAATCAACACAGTAAAGGGGAGACTATATTTAAAAGAAGAAAACCTACCACAGCAAGAGGACATAGTCTTAAATTACGGGGACAAAAGTTTACAAATTATTTTAGGAAGTATTACTTTACTTAGAGGGTAGTGGATGCATGAAATAGCCTTCCAGCTAAAGTGGTAGAGGTAAACACAGTGAAGGAGTTTAAGCATGCGTGGGATAGGAAAAAGGCTATCCTAGCTATAAGATAATGCCAGGGTCTAATGAGAGTATTTATAAAATTGGGCAGACTAGATTGTCTGAATGGTTTTTATCTGCTGTCACATTCTATGTTTCTGCTAGATTATTTGTTACTGTGTAATGCTGTCCATGGTTTTGCACATCTTTTCTTGACATGCATACATTTTTCTTACTAAACATTGCAATATATTTAGTTGTATTTCACTTTTAACATCACAAACTCGTTATATATTAGCACAGAGCTACTCCATTCAACAAACACATTGTAGTACTTCAATACCTGTCTAACATGGGATGTTAATGGTATTTGATTGAATATGTTTTATTAAAAGGGATGGTTGACCTAAACAGTGCCATTAGAAATGCTTGGTTTGAACAATCAATGAAAACATACAGAAATTCTGGTGCAAAGTATTATATACTTCACTGTAACTGAAATAGTTCTGGTACATATATAATTTTCTTAGTCACATGCTCATTGTTCTCATATAAATATTTTTTTCTTGATAAATACTATTAATTGTTTTCCCACCTTCTTTGGTTCCTCCTTCAGGTGTCATCATTAAAAGAAAGAGAGGAGAGATTCCTTGTCCTTTAGCAGTGGAAGCATTTGCTGCACATCTCAGTTATATCTGTAAATATGATGATAAATATAGCAAGTAAGTAATACAGGAAAAAAGATGCAAATGCGTTGAATTATTTATTTTGCTGACATAAAATCCCTTGTTAATTCTAATCATAATCCTAACTGTGAATCATAATACTATTTATATGGTTAGGAGTGGAGGTGGGATAAAGATTAGGGTTAGGATAAGATTTAAAGGGACACTCCAGGCACCCAGACCACTTCTGCCCATTGGATTGGTCTGTGTGCCAACTCCCACCACCCTTAACCCTGCAAGTGTAATTATTGCAGTTTTTATAAGTCCTCCTCTAGTGGCTGTCTATCAGACTAGATCCACTAGAAGTGTTTTAAGTGATGCTGGACGTCCTCACGCTATCCATGAGGACCTCCAGCATCGCCGGAATCCCCATAGGAAAGCATTGAATAATGCGCATTAGGTCTCCCCTGCTGGGAAGCAGGGAAGGAGCGTGAGTGGAGTCTGACCCAGCACAGAGGGACATCGGTGTTGGATTCAGGTAAGTCACTGAAGGGGTTTTAACCCCTTCAGCAACATGGGATGGGAGGGAAGGGGGCACGGATATAACAACGGATATGTTTTCCTTGTACTGGAGAGTCCCTTAAGATTAAGGTTAGGTTTAGGATGAACAACGTGGTTAAGGTTAAGGATTAGGATTATAGCCAGCAAGCGAATCATCAAAATAATCCATATATAGTGGAGCACTTTTTTAAAGTGATCTATTGCATTCGGAAAATTATTTTCCTTTTGATACATTATTATTATACTGTGATGGTTGTTCAGATCTCCCAGTTCTCCTTAGGGTGGGAGAGATGATAAAAACTCTATAGTGTACACCTTTTATATTATTAATTGTGTGTAAATAATCACAAAGGAACACTCACACATTCAAGAGCTAATATACCTAGCTCTGGTTCAGTTTGCTACAGGGTCTGTTCAGGCAAAAAATTCCCTTCTTGTTATCTTCCCAGTCAGTTCTATGGTGTAATTTAAAGGGGTGTATACATAGTGTAGTACTGTAATATGATGTTAACTTGATGTTCACAAGTGTAGAGCCTCTAGATAGGGCTCACTTTATGCATGTTGTGTGACTGAGGTGTGACACTACCTTCTTTGGGTAAATCAGGAACCGAAAAGTATAGTTGCTGCACAATGTGCAAATTTTTTTAATTTAAACATCAATTATTAAAACTACATTTAAAATGCTTTGTATGTAGTAATGTAGTCCAGAACACGTTTCACCCATGGCTTCATCGGCTGGATTCATAAACACTCTGTTCCGGTTTCCTTAATATGGGAATAATTGGGCTCAGATGCGAGCAATCTCCTACCTTTCCAGAAGTGCATCGCTTTCCAATCCTCTATTTCATCATCCTATCTTCTTAGTGTTGTTCCAAGACTGTGCGCACGCAGAATCCCACAGAACAGGGACAGCGTTACGTTCCAAGCAAACAAAGTCTTTTAACATGGGGCCATAGTCCAAAGGCAGCAGACGAGCAACCAGGTTTCTCCAATGCAATGTGGAGAGATTGCTCTCGTCACAATGACATGTCACACATGTCATGTGTCCTTAAGGGGTTAAACTAGCTGCTTTATCCCTCCTCGATCTCCCATCAGCCCTTGTTATAGTCTGACCCCACCCTTCCTTGTACTATAGTAATCTATATAACCTATTGTATGTAAATGAGGCTGTTGGGGGTTTAAAATGTGTGTATAAATTGTAAGTGCTGGCTTGCATTAAAAAGACCTGCTTGACCCCTTCTTGAAGCCTTGGCTCATGTTTGGGGGATGGGATAACTACACTCTTTAATTATTTGGCTCCCTTCTTATATTCACAGTTTCCTTGTTTACCTTAAAATTTATTTGAACTCTTCTCTTATCTTAAAATTTAAAAAAAAATAAACATACCCACAAAATAACAGATTATCTGAATATTTAACGTACAGTAATTTATTATAGTATGTGTTTACTCCGCTCTTTTTTTTTTTTAAATAGTTTATTTTTGACTGAAGCACTTGACATTTATACAATACATGGTGAGCAATACTGTAGACAAGCCATTCCAACCTTTTTTAACAAGATCATGTCTTGTCGATATTGTCGTTAGCCATATGTCTTCCTTATGTGTCAAGATACATTCATTTTGTTTGGTTTTTAAAGTATAACAATAACTAAAAGTCTAAAGACTAATGTAACCATCTACTATAACATTGCGTATGGTATCTTTTGTAGCATACTAATTCTCTGGTGGGGTTTGAGAAGGATATGGTATCCTTCTCAATTGGGAAGGGCTGCGCCCTTGGTTATTTAGCGGATCTCATACCAGCTTTTGTACCATTGTTCCCACCGAGTGAGTATTAAAGTGAAAAAGAGAGTCAAAAGTAGGAAGAAGAGAGAGAAGAAAGTTGTGACGAGACCAATCTCGCCACATTGCATTGGAGAAGCCTGGTTGCTCGCCTGTTGCCTTTGGATTATGGCCCCATGTTCAAAGGCTTGATTTTCCCCTGCAAAGACATGAAAGCCGGGTCATTTGGTGCTTGCCCTGTTTGAGCGGTGATACCCCAGATAGCTATGCCATGGAGCCCATTCGTATAATGAAAGACTATGGGAAAGACTTTGGCTCCATGGCAATTGAAATGTATGTGTGTGCTCTGAGCGCCATTCAGTAATAATGTGCGCTCAGATCTGAGCTATCTGGGGATATGTTGAATATACCTGTTTTGTGCAATGGCTGCACAGTTATATGTTTTTATGTGTTTTATTGTCTTTTGCTGCCATGTGTTCAATGGAGTTTTGCCTCTGTCTTTGGAGATAATTGGATTACTTCCCAATTATCTCCAGGATAGAACACTCCGTGGAACTGGTTTTGGGCAGAAAAGCCATGCTTCCTTTGGTCACAAATGACTACGATCTATCTTTTGAACCACTGGACCAATTTGGATTTGGATTTTGACATTTGTTTGTATTTGGAGTATGCTGATTCTGAAAATGTAGTTTTATGTGAATGTGATGCATACTTTTCAAGTTATGAATAATGTGGAAAAATTGTATTTCTCTGCTTGTTATAATTACATTACCCATTGTGTAAGATAATTGTATCACAGGCAGAGGGGAGGATTTTGTGTGGGAGTGTCTGAGTGTATTGTATGTGTTTATTGGTTGTGTTCCAAAACCCTGTGGGTGGTACTAACATGTAAGAATGTGTACATAAGCACAATAAACCCACAGCTCTGACTGTTCACTGCTTGACCCTCAACACGGAGCTTTGTCTCATTCTTGGGGGGATTTATTGTATGCTGTTCCAGTTTGACTGCTAGAAGTGTAAACCTACTCGTATGGTTTTTCCGATTCGGCTGTTTACGGCATTCATATGGTTTCCTGTTCGGCGGATTGGTGTTCTACAGTACCTGTGCCTGTGTCTCTGGAAGGGGAAGATCTACTAAACGGCGGTTTAACTCTTTTATGCTGAGGGTGCCGTTACAAAAGTAGAGAGAGTTCCTCATCAGGTTAGAGGGCGTCAGCTTCGTACCGTTAGGTGTTATGCAGTCCCACATGAGTGAGGCCTTGTCGGGGGGCAATTCCCGAGGGAGAGAGAGGGGTTGGTTTCCCACCTGGTATTTATGTCTGCTCATGCTAAGTCGCTAGCTGTCCAAGGTTCCCACAGTTTTTCGAATCGCGTCATGGACCCTCGCACCCTGGCTGTCCATAAGGACACACCTTACCCCCGCCGACTTCTTCCGCTACCTGCAACTCAAAGACTATGTGAAACGCCAACACATTCAACTAGCAGCCACAGGGCGTATGTCCTTCTTTGAAAGGATGTGTCTAAACGAATCACCACAGCCAGGTCTTATCTCGAAACTATATGCACACATATGCTCAGAGACAGTAGAATGGGGCACTCTCACATACACGGACACATGGGAAAAGAACTAGGGGAGGAACTAGAGGGGGTGGAATGGAGGGAGATTTGGGAAGCGAACAACTCTGTATCCATATGGGTGTCTCTCCAGGAACAGGCCTAAAAAACAGTGTTTAGGTGGTATACTACACCAGTGAAATTGCGACAAATGGGGAAGACACCAACAGGCGACTGTTGGAGAGGTTGCGCCCTTAAAGGCACTTACCTCCACATGTGGTGGGATTGCCCATGGGTACAAAACTTCTGGAAGTGATACACCAACTATTCCACAGAGCCCGAACTTAAGCCCATGGACATACCTACTCAATAGGCCCTTAGAGGACTGGACAAGCAGGGAACAAAAATTAATACACAAAGTGACACTAGCAGCTGGGAGAGCACTAGCCCAAACGTGGCTGAAAGTAGAAGTACCCGCTTGAAAAAGAAATAATCTTCTCTTTGATCCAATTATACAATCTATCTGGCTCTTGAAAGGGTAGGACTTGTGATTGATAACATATGAAGATTTTCATTGGGTACCTCCATTTGTATCATATGTTCTTTTCTCTCAAAATATTTGTTGAGCTAGCATATGCTTTCCTCTCAAAATATTTGGGCAGTATGTTCATTTTAACCGTGTGGATACGCCCTATCCATGAGATATGTTTATCTTGCCATTTTTCCATGTCAGTGGTAAGTGTCTTAATTACCTGGGTAAATTTAAATGGTGTAGTTTTACTGGGTCATCTGGTAAGTAAATCCCTAGGTATTTAATATGTCCCGATGCTATAGGTATGTTGTGGGTCGCCCGCACCGCCGCGTCCCCCGCAGACATTCCTATTGGGAGGGCACTTGACTTATCCAAGTTGGCCTTATACCCTGAGAAGGCTCCATATTTTGTTAGGGTTTCTGTGAGGGCCTCCATCAAATCAAGTGGTTCTGTGAATGTTAGGAGCACGTCATCCACATACGCAGAGACAAGGAATTCCTGCCCTCCAATCCTGAACCCCTTAATTCGGGGGTTTTGCCTGATGGCCTGTAGTAGGGGCTCTAACATTAATGCGAACAAAAGTGGAGAGAGAGGACATCCCTGCCTCGTGCCGTTGCCCATGCTAAAGGG